AGCTGTCTTTCTCCACTAGTGAATAGTGATACAGTTTATGAGGACCCATTTAACTTAGTTCATACTTATATTTGGGACCCGTCGCCCATCACGTCTCGCATGGGGTTTAGGTACTTTGCGTTGTTTATAGATCATACGACCCGATATACGTGGGTTTATTTTTTGAAGAAGAAGTCCGACTTGGTTTTGGCGGCCAAGGAGTTTGTGACTATGATCCGGACGCAGTTTGGGAAAAAAGTCAAGGTTTTGTGGTCTGACCCTGGTGGGGAGTTCATGGCCACAGAACTTCTACAGCTCTTCAAGGATTTGGGGATTCTTCAGCAACAGTCGTGTCCCGGTGTGTCTCAGTAGAACGGAGTAGTTGAGCGTAAACAGAGGCATGTATTGGAGCTTACTCGCGCTATTCTGTTCCACTCGAGGGTTCCCACTGGTTTTTGGGTAGAGGCGGTCCAGACTATTGTCTATTTGATAAACCGACAGATTACTCCACTGCTCGGTCAGAAGTCACCATATTATGCTCTCTACCAGCGGCTTCCTGATTATTCGTCTCTCCTAGTTTTTGGCTGCACCTATTTTGTCTTGCTTCCGAGGAAAGATCGTCACAAACTTGCTCCCAAAGTAGCTCGCCGTGTCTTTATTGGGTATAGCGAGAAGCATAAAGGTTACCTTTGTTATGACCCTGGTGATCGCCGGATGCGAATAGCATATCATGTCCGATTTATGGAGGACAACATGTACTATAAAAATAACTGAGGCTGGTGTTGCCGAGTCATTGGAATTCCTTGTCCCCTTGCCCGAGTTTGACACCTCCTCTTCGCCAGTGACGGTGGATTTGACCCCCGCCAGTCCCGAGCATTCAGGTCACTCATTGTCTCCCAACAGCCCGCAGTCAAGCAACTCTTCTTCAGGCTCCATCTCTCCTTGTCCCGCCTCATCCTCCTCTGGCTCGTCGCCCTCAAACTCAAGTTCTAGCTCGTCGAGTGGTGGTGGTTCTAGTGGTGGTGGTTCAAGTGGTGGCGGTTCGAGTGGGGGTGGCGCCTCTCCACCGGTCCAATCGATCGTCCCGCCGCGTCGCTCCAACCGTGCCAACCTGGGTAAACCACCGCCCCATATGCGCGACTTTGTGAGCTTCTCCGCTGCCCCGATCTTCATTCCCACTTGTTATTCCCAGGCCACAGCTGACCTACGTTGGAATGCTGCGATGAAGGTCGAGATGGATGCTCTCGAAAAGCAACATACTTGGGATTTGGTTCCTCGAGAAGAAGGAATGCAGGTCAATGGCAGTCGCTGGGTTTACAACGTCAAGATGCTCCCTGATGGTGAAGTCGAGCGTTTTAAAGGACGTGTAGTAGCTCAAGGGTTTAGACAGGAGTATGGTATCGACTACGACGAGACATTTGCTCCGGTGGTTAAGATGCAGACTGTCCGCTGTGTTTTTGTTGTAGCATCTATGAAAGGTTGGTCTCTCCTTCAGCTTGATGTGAAGAACGCGTTTCTTCATGGTGACCTGAAAGAGACTGTCTATATGGAGAGGCCTCCGGGATATGAGAAAGGGGATTCTACTATGGTGTGCAACCTCAATCGCTCCCTGTATGGCTTGAAATGGACACCTCGTGCATGGTTCGAGAAGTTTCATGGGACGATCTTGCAAGCTGGCTTCACTCAGAGCCAAAATGACCTTTCTCTTTTTACCCGTGAGACAGTTGATTGCATTGTTATCATGTTGATCTATGTTGATGATATGATTATCACAGGCAGTGATAAGGACGACATTCGCGCAGTTACTACCGCACTCCATACAGCTTTCAATCTGAAGGAAATGGGGGAGGTCTCTTACTTCTTGGGGTTGGAGGTCAAGCGCTCACCACAAGGTATTTTCCTTTTTCAGCAAAAATATATTCTTGATCTTTTGCACTCTTCTCAGTATGCAGATTGTGTGCCATGCTCCACCCCGATGGAGCAAAACTTGAAGTTGAGTAGGGAAGGGGGGGAAGTGATGGAAGATCAATCGGGTTACAGGAGCTTGGTAGGGAGTTTAATCTACTTGACACATACTAGACCAGACATTGCTTATGCGGTTCAGGTGGTATCTCACTTCATGGGAAGAGAGACTGGGGTACATTTGGTTGCCGTGCATAGGATTCTGCAATATCTTAAGCAAACACAGGATGTCGGGCTGTTTCTACCAGCAAAGGGTGAACCTGTGGTTGAGGCTTTCGCGGATGCAGATTATGCAGGGTGCATAGACACTTGAAGGTCAACCTCGGGATGGTGTGTTCGTGTTGGGCTGTCTTTTGTGTCTTGGAGATGCAGAAAACAGGACAGAGTTTCAAAATCCTCGACTGAAGCAGAGTATCGGTCTATGTATGAGGTAAGCTCAGAACTTGTGTGGATACATCGATTACTCGGTGAATTGGGGTTGATTGCCGAGTCCCAATGCGCATTTATGGGGATAACACCAGCGCAATTCAGATTGCAGTTAACCCTGTGATGCACGACCGGACTAAACATATTGAGGTTCATGGCCATTACATCAGACAATTAGTAGCAGAAGGAGTGATACAAATTGGGTACCTCTTGACCGAAGATCAGACAGCAGATCTTTTGACCAAGGCAGTTGCTTCCAATAGGCATTGGTATTTGTCGTCCAAATTGATGTTGCGTACCGCAGATCAATTTGAGGGAGGGCATTGAAATATCAAAGTTTGGGTACCAATTTGTATAATTATCTTCTGTTATATTGTCTATGTAATTAAGGAACCCTAATGCGGCCCCTATAAAGAGCAGAGGTTCATTGCTGTAACGATTAAGTCGTTTGGCAATTATAGTGAAGATTATTGGAGAGCACAGCCTCTCCCGTGGATTAGTCCTGAACCTCAGGGATACCACGTTAAATCTCGGTGTTCATGATCGTTGATTCTATAGTTATTTACACGGCCAGATATAGTAATGGAGAGAAAGTACTAATCAACCGAGACGAAAGAGGTGAGAAAGAAAAAGACAGCAGAATCGAATGGAAGAAAACAAACCTATGACACCCACCGTCTCCTTGCCAGATCCATTTATGAAAGTGAATCTCCTCTGAATCCTCAATAACAATGAGAACTTGCAAATCCTATGTGTACCACAATTCCTTTGTCCTCGTTGAGGTTGAAATACACCCTTCAAATCTGTAAAGAGGAATAAACTGATAAACTTCGGATCTCTACTTTCTCTCCTCTCATCGCCCAAGCTTAATGTTTTACTGATCTATAGCGGAAACTCAAATCCCAAAATAATTTCGAATTTGCCCGAGAACATTGCGCCACAGCAAGCCACCGTGGTAATGGGTCGCAGCAGAATTCGTGTTCCCATCCAAGCAATCGCCCGGTCTCACTGGCTTTCCGCTGGAATTTGATGTTTGCCTCTGACGGCTAGATTATTGCCAGCATCTCATCTACAAAACAATAAAGAAAAAATCTTTATAAGAATATAGAGAGAACAAACTCATCTCAGGATACTCATCAAAGACTAAGAAAATAGAAAGTTGAAGGTTTGAATCTCCTCCGAATCGTTTCCCGACCTCTAAAAAAATGGACAATTCGCTCTAGGCAGAGAGTGGAAATTGGAAAAGACAGGGGAAACAAAAACATATGGGAGGACCAATCTTCGTACCTGCATCCACCACAGAAACTACCTTCCAAACAACTCCAGATAGCTTCTGATCCACTCTAGGCAACTCGAATCCCCCTCTTGGTCGCTCTTAGCATCGTCTCCAGGATAGCTCCGGTTTGATTTCTTTTGTTTCCTCTATGAACCCGGTGTTCCCAGTACGGATTTGAAGGTGAGAATTAAAGTGATAAAGAAACAAATTGATTAGAGCTTTTGGCGTAGAACTCCATCAAATGAGATGGGAGGAAGACAGTTTGCGGGAAGCGAGATGAGAGACAGTGACGTAGAGAGAAGTGAGAAAGAGATGGTGGAAAAAAAAGTAGAGAAAGAATCAGGGTGCGATATGATGCTTTGGGTAGGTAAAATGAGTGGCCAAATAAAAAGGAGACGTGACTCCTTGCCAGCCAAACAAAACATAAAAAGTTCTCTCCCTCTCTCTCAGTACTCAGTAGCCTCTAATAAAGAACCAACAATCCCTTCTCGCCTAAAATAACACAAAAATATTCAGTCTCTCTCTGGAGAGAGTCTCCCACTTGAGGCCGGCTCGAATTCCATGGCAGAGGGAAGGAGCTAGAGAGAGATGCCGGGAAGCAGCTGCGAAATGACCGCAACCCAGGCCCACCATGCACAGTGCAACAACAAATCACAGGGTCATGAATAGTAAGACTGTCATGGTGAACAGATAAAAAGCGACGTGACAAAAGTGGGGACAGAAGAGAAGAAAGGCAGAGGGGGGAGGAAATTAGTGAAAAGTAGCATGCATCCACGAACAACACTATTTCCATCGCAAGCAACTCGCCGCCATAGGGAGGCTCCCAAGTGAAATCCACCACCAATAGAGAGCACCAGGCACCGGCCTGTGAGAAAGAGAGAGGAGATGCACTGGGGCCCACAACATGCAACAACCAATAAGAATCCAATGAACAGAGTAACTGAGTCGAAATGAATAGTGGGATGTGTCTTGGTGTACAGGGATTGGGTGTTAGTGGGATTTACTTCTCTTAATTGTTCATGGACTCACTTTCTTAATCACCTTATCTTCGGGTTCTAAGTTATTGGACTAAATTGTAATGTTGATTAACCACTAATTAATAGGAAAGCACAATCAAATCAACAGGCCTACCCCATAAGAAAACTTCATTAGCATTCATTATCACCAAAGCTCAAAAATTCATTAGAAAATCCCAATATGAAGGGGGCATACAAGTACAACAAGTTCATGTTGAGTTTATTCAACGTTACGTTCTTCTATATATGTGTAAACTATGACGTGAAAACATTTAGTATTGTTTAGAATAAGTCAAGAACCATGATCACAACTTACGATCACAACTCACTAAGGATTGACCTCAAACTCCGTTGTTGTAGAGATGAAGAGGAAGCCTAGGGTGAGCAACAGCAACAAGTGGGAATTTCCTAGGGGTAGAGAGCCCAAAAATCTCATCCATATTCAACTCTTCTCTCTTCATTCCACTTGGCAATTCCCACTTAAACCCATGAAGAAGATTAGCCAAACTCACTTGAATCACCTTGATCCCCAATGGGTACCCAGGACACATTCTCCTTCCGGCTCCAAAAGGCAACAACTCAAAATCATGACCTTTTACGTCGATATCCTTTCCGATGAACCTCTCTGGCCAGAACTCCTCGGGAGCATCCCAGATGTTGGGGTCTCTCCCAATAGTCCAAACGTTGACAAAAACCCGGGTGCCCTTAGCGATATGGTATCCAGAAAGCTCGACGTCTTCTCTAACCATCCTTGGAACCAACAGTGGTGCCACAGGATGTAGTCGCATTGTCTCTTTGACAATCGCATTGATGTATGGCAAGTTAGGTATGTCATTCTCTTCGACCCAACGATCCTTTCCGACTACCCTGTCTAGTTCTTCTGCTGCTCTGATGAAGATTTTTGGGTGTTTTAAGAGTTCTGAGATTGCCCATTCTACTGTCACAGCTGAACTTTCGGTTCCACCAGCGATCATGTCCTGACAAGAAAAGAGGTTTGTCAATTGTTATTGAAGGTCCAAATTAACATAAATTATTGGTGTGTGGCTATGGAAGAAATTTGGAATTGGGTTCTAATTTATTTCTCCTTGTAGCTAGTGGTAAGAGAAGTGATAGAGAGGAGAATGATTCAATCCACATTATTTGGTCAAGTTCTGGACCAAAATGTGGTGGTACATATTGATAACAAGAAACGAGGTTGGTCAATTGTTATTGAAGGCCCAAACCATGCATACTGAATAGAGTATTACATTGACCATTTACACAATAAAGTATTGGGTTAATATTACTAAAATATCTGAAGTATTGGAAAAAGGTCACTTGTGTTCTTTATATTCAATATGACAATCATATCTTAACAGTTTTTTTTAGTTGTGACTGTTAGTACTTAACATAAAATATTGTCAGCATTGATGTGGCATCTGACATGTAATTTTTAATTTAATTTCTATGTAATTTTCATAAAATATATTATAAAAAATCTTAATAATTCAATATCATAAACTAGTTTTTCTTAACTTATTTTTATCGGCCGACACACTTGTTCATAAATCCTGGGTCCACCATTGACTATTTGAAACTAGTAGCAGCCAGGATTTCATATAAGATAGAGTTCGATTTTTCAAAAAAAAAAAACTTGATATAATTTTAGACCTGTCTCGTTGCGTGCTCTCATATTTTGAAAAATTTGTAAGCCACATTCATATTATATTAATTTCTATATATCCAATCAAACAATAACACATGATTTTTTTTGTTAATCATTTACTATTGAAAAGTATGTTTCACTTAGCTCCTTGCAAATGTCTTTTATATACTTGCAATCGATGCTGGTAGCAAAGATAAGTTGCTTCTTTCAATGATCATGATTTTAAAAAATTCAAAAATTCCGTATAGCTCTAGAAAATCTAAGATATCATTACAAGAGAACTCATTATTAAGATAAAAATAAGCTATCGGATTTCAATTAGAGGTGAATTTTATGGAAGAAGATGAACAAAATTAACAATTTGATATTTGAAGAATGAAGGTTGATTTTGTTTTAATATTATTTATGTAGAAAATAGAATGTATTGTATATATAAATGATGAAGCGAAGCAACGGGCTTTGGGCTTTAGAAGGAAAAAGAGCTGCGAATAAGAGAACTGTTGCCATTCATAAGATAATGTCATTATTTAGATGTAATTTGATGGTAGAAATACCGACCGGTATTTATAAGTTTATGGTTAAAATTTCAACGACACTTAACAATTGTATTTATATTTACACGTTTTTCTTCCGGGCCAAGATGGATCCCAGGAGGCCAGGACCCACCCTCCTATGCATTGCCTCCACCACTGAAACTATTAGTCTCACTCTCACAGGTTTACTTTACATTATTATTTCACAATCATTTTATTTTGTTTTTTATTAGGACCGATAATCAGTTCGGTTATAAATGAAATCGTTTAGTCGGTTTTCGGGTAACCATTAAACACTTAAAGCTTACCGTTAACCGTACCGTTTAAATGAGTCGACTAACCGTATTTGTATAGTCGGTTCTCGATTATTTTGTCGGTTAATCGAATAACCATCAACCAAGTGATTTGGCCAGGTTATACCAAAATAACCTAACCAACAAAAGACATCCTTTTTTCAATTGTTAGATTTTTTATAATTTTTCATACATATGCATGTGTTCTTTTCTTAAGTTGTTATTGTTGAATAAAAAATAATTTAACATAGAGATATATCAATACATAATCAACTCAATTCAACACAAGTACACAATAATACCATTCTACCACAAACTTTATTAAAGAAGCATACAACGAAAAGAGACCCAACAACAAATACTCATCTCGTACACCTCACCATACATGGAAGCTTAATGTTACTTATTGTTGTCGAGCAACTATGCATAAGCCTTACTTTCTACTGTGTTCCTTCTAAAACTATTCTTTTAAATTATTATCATTTGAGTGTAAGTCACTATCACAACTAAGATAGGCAAGAGGTCTTGTAAATCTTCAAACACCCCCATTATTTTTGGCCTATATATGTTTGCAGCTCATGGATGTCTATTATTATTGTTCTAACTATGAGGATGGTCGTAATCGGTTAGTAGGTTAACCGTTTAACCGCCAATTATTAACCGTTTACTATTTAATTGATTATTAGTGTAACCGTTAAGCATCGATTCCAATTTGATTATCATTTACACCATTAACGAGATAACCGTTTACCGGCCCTACTTTTTATTATCATCTCTGAAATCAAAATTAAGTCAACCATTTATAAGCTACTTAATATATAGAGACGACGTTCCACACTAAACAATTGTTTAACACAGACAAGTTAGCTCTAGGAAAGCGAAAGATATTTGATATACTTTGCAATTGTGCAAACAATTTGTTAATGCGATTGATGAAAACACACCAGAGTAAACAATTAAAATTATGTTTAATTACCTTAATTAGTGTGCTTGTTAATTTTAAAATGATCTTTTCGTGATATCTCGAGCTACCGACATGTTCTTATAAATTGTATAATTTATAAACAAATCATTATTTGACTAAAATTTATGTTTAGTTACAATAATTAGGGCGATTATTGATTATAAAGAGGTATTTTCATGATATCTCGAGCTACCGACATGAAAAATGGACAAAATTTTCATCACTCCATTGAAATGTGACCCTAAATGCGCTAAAATTAATTGTTTCTCGATTTGAGGTCCCGAGTACAGATAACATGAATAGTGTCAAAGCTTTGATCGATGTTTCGGAAGGCTCCAGAGATCGAAATATGGAATCTATTGGGACTAGCATGAGAATTTCCATGATGGGAACAATTTTTGTTAGTGGAAGTTTGAACCATTCGGCTTCTAGGATAACACTGTAGGTGTAGGAGGATTGGATGGAGCTAGGTAGAAAGTTGCTGGTTTGAGGAAAATAAAGGTTTAGAGTTTGGGAGATGGGAATAGATGCTTGTTCATTTTTTTGTTGTTGTAGTTGTTCATTTCGGTCAAGTTGGTTCTTCTTCCAGTTGAATCATCCCGTGACGCTTCATCGATTAAACAAAATTTATTTCTAAATTCAAACAATAAACGAAATAATTTCTAGATTTATACACTACACACACTTTATTTCTAAATTTAAATGATAAACCTTATCAATTATTGAATTAAAAAAATTGATAAGCACAATGAAATAATTCCATTTGTGAAACATAATTTATTTCTAAATTTATAAATTGAAACAATAAACATAATTAATTTCCAAAGTTGAACACTAAAAAAAATTCATTTCTGAGTTTAGACACAAAACATAATTCATTTCTAAATTTAAACACCGAACACTTGGCGACAAATAGTATTAAAATTGGCGGCAAATAACCACACCTCGCAACTATTAATCTCACGTGTTTAATCAATCTCCATTATTATTTCACAATCAATTTCATTTTCCTGTTTACAATCATCTCTAAAGTCAAAATTAAGTTAACCATTCACAAAGCTACTTAATAATATATAGAGACAACGGTTCCACACTAAACACTTGTTAAACACACACTAGGAAAGCGAAAGATGTCATTTCTGAAATTTGGCAGTTGATCCAAACAAATTTCGTGGAACTTGAGTTGTCTATTAAAAAAAAACCCCCCACTTTAATTTAATTAATCAGCTTATTCAACAGTTAATAATTCGATCGACGAGAAAACTACTCACCAGAGTAAACGCCTTCACTCTCCGGCGATCCATCTTCACCTCCAAATCCGGATCGTCGGCCAGCTCCAACAACACGTCCACCATATCCTTCTTCTTCCCCAAACCACCGCCACCTTCCCCCCTCCGCTTCAAGTTGTGCTCGTCCAAAACCCTCTCCAAAAACCCGTCGATCCTCCTCGCCACCGCCTTCATCCGCCGCCGGTACCCCTGCAGGTCCAGCCACGCCAGCCACGGGATCGAATCCCCGATATCCAAAACCCCGTTCAGCAACATCGCCTCCTCGAGAATCTCCTTCAGATCCTCGTCCCCGGCGCCGGCGGTGTGCTTCTCCCCCAGAACCATCCGGCTGATGACGTTGAGGCTGAGGTCCAGCAAACGGTCCTTCACGTTGACCGGGTCGCCCGACAACCCGAACAGGCTGCCCACGACCCGCCGCACCTCTTCCCTCCGGATGTACTCGTAGGACTCGAGGCGCTTGCCGCTGAAGAGCTCGACGGCGCACATCCGGCGGGCCTGGCGCCAGTGGGGCCCGTACGGGGACCACGTGATGTCGGAGTAGTCGTAGGCGGCGTACTTCCCGGCGGCCGTCTCGGGGCGGCCGGCGAAGGCGAGGTCGTGGGTTCGGAGGATGGATTTGGCCACCTCGGCGGAGGATCCGACCATGACGTGGTGGGAGCCGAAGCGGAGGCGCATGATGGGCCCGTAGTGGGAGGAGAGGGAGTGGAGGGATCGGTGCGGGAGGGGGCCGATGAGGTTGAGGTTGCCGATGATGGGCCACGGCTTTGGACCCGGCGGCAGGTTGGAGCGAGAAGAATGGTTGCGAGTGAGGAGGAGGAGGAGGACGACGGTGGTGGTGATTACTGCGGCGGCGAGTGTGGCACTAGTGGGTGTGAGGATCAACATATCCATGTCTTTTTGGGGGATTTGGAAGTGATATGGAAGTTGGTTGGAGTAGTGAGGAATGGGGGAGTGGGGACATGAGTCTATTTATAGAAAATTCTGTTTTGGGAATTTTTTTTTTTTTTTTTTTTTGACAAAAGGACATCGGATTTCCATTCTTGGGCAAAAGCCATGAAGTTACAAAAGGGGGATACAACATCCAAGATCTGTATCCAATCCGTAGGCAAGGAATTCAAAGCACAAGACCTAGCAACCCAATCCGCTATCGAGATCTTCTCTCGGTCAACGTGCTTGATCCTAATCTGCGGGTTTGAACATAGTGCTTGTCTGATGCTTCCAATCCAGGCTGCTGCTCGCCACGACCACGTCTTCGACTGATTGTTCACCGCTTTTACTAGAGGTAAGCAGTCTGACAGGATGAGACATGGAAACGAAAAGGATGCAGCCAGACGAGATCCTTCCAGAAGAGCTTTTGCTTCAGCTTCAAGAGGGGAAAAACAATGCAAAGTCTCAGCCTTACCGTCACAAACTTGGCCATGGCTGTTCGATACAACAACGCCATATGCCGCCTTCTGGGAGTCGCTGAAGAACGACCCATCACAGTGTATCTCAAATTCATGAGTACTTGGCGGTGGTGAAGAGAGATTCGGTGGTGGGTTGGGCTGAGGTGGGTGGGAGGTGGCACTGGCCTTCCTTGGACATGTGCTCCATTGATGGAAAGCCGTGAAAGCCTTGGTGACTGTCGCTGGTGGCCAAATACGGGAGCCCTTGAAGATGCTATCATTTCTTGCTTTCCAAGTCTGCCAGAGTAGGAAGACAATTTTCTGAATGGAGCACACCGAATACCTGGCAGTCAGCGCATGAAGCCATTCCAGAAACGGCACGTTTGGATTTGGGGGAGGGAGGGTCGGCCATTCTTGCTCCCATCCTTCCACTGCATGGGGGCAGGAGAACAGGCAGTGGTGGACCGATTCCACAGGGAAGTCACACAATGGGCACACCATGTTGGGGGAGCACTTTCTGTTGAAAAGATTTTCTTTGGAGGCAAGAGCATTCTTGGAGATCCTCCACACAAAAAATTTTAGCTTTGGTGGGATGGAGAGGCTCCACAACCATTTCCATCTCTTCATGCTGGCTTCGGAAGTCATGATCTGTTCTCCTTGCGAGCCTCTAATAAGGTTGTGAAACTAAGTGAAAGCGGATTTGACCGAGAAGGTTCCATTCTCCGTAAAACGCCAAGCCCAGAAATCCTCCAGAGATTCCGGGCCAATAGGGGTGGCTGCGACCTGTCTAACAACTTGTGGGCTAAGGAAGCGATCGAGCAAGTCAAATCTCCATTCTCTGGTAATTCCATCAATCCAGCCATCAACAGTAGCCTAGTCAGGCCATTCAAAATCAAGCACAGTCCCCATCCTGTCTCTTCTCCAAGGGTCTTGAAAGAACCTAGTAGATTTTCCATTTCCAATAACCCTGATGACACCACGTTCCATCCACTTTTTGGCGTCGCAAAGGCTCGCCCAAATCCAGGAAGCCTTCCCTCCTTTCTTAGCTTTGAGGAAGTCTGTATTTGGGTAGTAGATGCTTTTGAGGATCTTGACCCAAAGGGCATCAGGATTGGTGAGGATTCTCCACGTCTGTTTTGCCAGCAGTGCAAGGTTAAAAGTGTGGAAAGGCCTAAAACCAAGACCCCCTTCACTTTTCGGGGCATACAGGATGTGGCCTGCCCTCCAATGAATCGTCCTCTTCAGCAAGCAGCCTCCCCAGAAGAAATTTTTTAGCATAGCATCCATTCTCTTCGTGATCGCTTTAGGCAGAAGAAAGAGGCACATGATATACGAGGGAACCGCTTGAAAAACAGCTTTCAGCAGGACTTCTTTCCCTCCGGGTGACAACATGAGACTTTTCCATGCTTCCCCTTTACTCTCCATCCTTTGCACTAGGAAATAAAACGTTTCCTTTTTTGACCTACCCCATTCCGTGGGAACTCCAAGATAGTTGGAGTGGCAGCAATTCGGTGCAAACCCAGAAGCGAGGATGATGCTGTCTTGTTCATCCCTGGGCACATTGAGACTGAAGAAAATCGATGACTTGTCTTTATTTACCTCCTGCCCCGTGACCGCCCCATAATTATTAATGATTTCCAAGAGTTTCCTGGCTTCGTCAGAAGAAGCTTCCCCAAAGATGACTGTGTCATCTGCAAACAGACAATGCGAGAGTGTTGGGCAAAATCTATTCAGCTTAATCCCTTTTGTACTCTCCTCAGCAACGGCTTTCTCGAGTAGGAAAGAGAGAGCATTCGACATTATGATGAAAAGCAGGGGGGACATGGGATCCCCTTGTCGAATGCCTCTTGAGGGAGAGAATTCATTCGATGGTTCGCCATTGATGAGGAGTTTGAATGAAACTGTTGAGATGCAAGCTCTTATCAACTTACACCAGGTGCTGCGGAAACCATAAGCCTGAAGAAGGTTGAGCAAGAGGTCCCATTCAACCAAATCGTATGCCTTTCTCATGTCGAGCTTAAGCATCATTTCTTTTTTCTTCCTCGATTTGTTTTTCTTGAAATGGTTTAGAACCTCATGAACAATAATGACGTTGTCCTGGATCTGTCTACCTCTTGTGAAGGCCGATTGAAGTTCATTGACCAGCTCTTGGAGAAATGGATGGAGTCTGTTAGACAGGATCTTGGTGATTATCTTGTACCTGAAGTTACAACAGCTGATTGGTCTGAACTGACCTATAGACTCAGGAGCATCAATCTTGGGGATAATCGTAATGAACGTGTCATTCCAGCCTGTTGGCATGATCCCAGACTCGAAGAAAGAGGAGATTTCCTTGAAAAGACCATCCCCGAGAGGGTTCCAGAATTTCCTAAAGAAGAGACCTGGGAATCCATCCGGCCCTGGGGCTTTGTTGGCCCCAAGTTGGAACACAGCCCTACGAACTTCCTCCTTGGTCACCGGTGCACAGAGCCCGGTATTCATTGTCTCCGAGACCAGCTTAGGGAAGCCTTCCAGGATTCCTGGAAAAGGATGCCCCTCCTTGCTTTTGAACAGGTCTTGGTAGAACCTGTTGATGTGAAGCTCGAGCATGGTCGGTTCAGAGATCCAATTACCATCCGAATCCTTGAGTTTCAGGATTATGTTACGGAGTTTCCTTTTTTTGGGAAAAAATTGCTTGTCACGTTAGTTGTCAATTTTTTCACGTATTTTTTTTCTCATTCATGTTATTTTGTGCTTATTCGTGTAATACTATGGTTATTCACAGTTAGTAAAATACGGTATGGAAAAATTACATATAAAATACGTACGGATATTTTACTGTACGTATTTTACTTCGTTCCTAAGGTAATGTTACGTTTAATAGTACGTTAATAGTAGGGCTGCAAATGAGTCGAGTCGAGTTTTACCCCAGCTTGAGCTCGGCTCGTTTATTAACGAGCCGAGTCGAGTTCCAGCTAGCTTGTTTATAAAAATCTTAACTTTTAATTGGTACTTCATTTTGTATATCATGATACATATGATTTATTTTGTTAGCTAATCTCATATTATACTTTGTTGGTATCATATATCAGCATAGTTTGGCCCTGCGGTAGCTTTTGCAGAAGCAGCTTCTGGCTGGAGCTTTTAGATAAGTACTTTTCAGAAAAAGCAGTTGAGTGTTTGGCTGTAAAACTATTAGAAGTGCTTTTTAATATGAAAGATTGTGTAAAATGACTATAAAGAACTTATAATATAAAATATGAATAAAAACTATAAACAATAAAAAGTAAACAAAATGAATCTTGTAAGATTTCTTTTATATTGAATAATATGATTTTATAATTTATTTTATTTTTAAAATGATATAAATGAAGGAAAATTATATTTTCTGAAATAAAATTAAAATATGGTAAGGATAATCTTGTATTTTCAAAACAGCTTTTCGCAGAAGCTCCAAATCAAAGCTTCTGCTTTTATGTTATACAAAAGCGCTTTTCGGCTTTTCAAAAGCCAAGTTTTTACAGGTGTTTGGCCCTGCTTCAGCTTTTGAAGCCTAAAAGCACTTCTAAAAGCCGGGCCAGACATAGGGATCATTTAGTTAATAAATTTTAACTACACCAAATCATGTTATTTCATAGTATCGAAGCAATCTATGATGCATAATCTCTTTTTAAAGTATAAAATAAGATATATTTGCTCGCATACTCAACGTGTTAAACTTTATATATGGGGAGATATATAATTTAACAACCATATGAATTAAAATCATAAGATATAGATTGATTCGTCCATAAGTTGGTAATTGAGTTGGCTCTCTAGCCACATGTTAAGACATATCATGAGCTCTAAACGAGCCAGCTCACGAGTTTAGCTCAACAAGCCACCGAGTGGAGCTAGTTCGCGAGCTTCACGAGCTGAACAAAGGTGAGCTCGTGTTCGGCTCGTTTATTAACGAGTCGAGTTTCGAACGAGCTTTTCTAGAGTCGAACGCCGAGCCGCTCGGCTCATTTGCAGCCCTAGTTAATAGTCATAAATATATTAAAAATAATAAAGTTAATAATTTAATTCATTAAATATGGATATTAAACGTGTTATACGGATTTTATATGTGTTTAGTACGAGAGCCGTCAAATGAACAGAAACAAATGAAACGGCTTGACAATAATACGGATACAGAAGTTTTAAACGGATAAAATGCGTACATGTACATATACGTGTATTAAAGGGAGTATTTACTAACTATTCATCCTAATAATTTCTTCCTCCTAAATGGAAAATCAGATTTTTTCTCCCTAATTATTTTTTTTATGATCAAATCAAAAAATTACATTATGGTCGGGTAGACTTAGGAAAAAAATACCTAGTCGCCTATCAAACTGTCAGAACAATACATTCATTGTCTGCTTGTCAATCTAATCTAAAAGTGTACGACGACCCCGTCAATTGATTCTGCTGCTGCTATGGTCCTTAATACTGAATGCGTCCAAATTAATGGTCCTTAATACTGAGAATGCGAAATAT